ATATATATATATATATATATATATATATGATACACTATGGAGTTTAAAACCTGTTTAGAAATGTCTAATGTCAGCGGTGCGCAGCCGCTTCGTCATATCATTGATGAAAAAAGGGTTTGAACGAGTAAAACCTGAGCGTCTTGGGAAAAATCATATATATCTTTAAATATATTGGTATGGCGCTACAAGATCGCAAATTAAAAAAAAACTGTATCAAATAACAGAAACCACGTCACTTGTAGACTACCAAGAACAGCAACAAAAAGAAGATAATGATATAATCCATATTTTGAACTTCCACACCACTTCAAATAAAAGGTTAGAAAAGAAACCCCCATCTATAATGGAAAGAGCGATAACAGCTATTGGGCTTGAGAAACCTTGTTTCCTATAAAGAAATATCTTCAGAGAAAGATTTTGTAAATTTCAAACAAAAGCAGATCTGTATGTCCTGTCAAAGAATACAAAATGTTTTCATGTAAGGACATAGCTAATTGGAGGAAGAGATTTACACTCAGGCAGATTTTGCTGGTTTTCTTTCATGCCCCACGCGCAGAGACTGCCGTTGGCATGACAATAGAATTATACAGCTGGAGTTTAGTAGCCTGACTGAAGGAACTGCTAGGCCATATCACTCTCATTGGAAGACAAGTGCAGCTTTTCAAATTCTTTACTCTACATCGTTTGTAGAGTCGTCATAACTGCAGATATTACTTTCCTAGAGAAGGTGAACTCATCAACAGGCCCTGGACATTCAACAAGACTGGTTGTTGCTGGGCTTCCTCTGGTTTTCTCTTTCCTGATCCGAAGGTCAAACAGGGAACTGTTGCTGTTGAGGTGTTGTGACAGTGATTAGAATCATATCATCTGCAAAGGTTTAGTCCGTTGGATTTCCAGTTCCTGATTTGATACCATATGTGGGGTCTCTTGTAGAGTTTCTCATGACAAAATCCCAAATCAGCAGAAACAAAACTAGTGACAAGATTCATTCCAGCCGAACCCCTTGTGACAATATTAAGCTTCTCCCTGTTGCCGGCACTAGTTTTGACATAACAGCTCGTTCTGCTATAGATAAATAGATATATAAAAAAAGATAAATACAAATATAAAAATAGACTCGCCCTCAAACTTTTCAGTGAGGATATTTACCTCCCTAGATCTAAACGTGGTCGGAAGGAGCGAGTACAAGACAAAAATGGAAGTTTTGAATTTATCTCATATCTTTAGTTCTCTGTTTTGTCTGATAATTATATATTTTGATTTCTGATAGTAAATAGTCATTTCTTCTTGCTTTGCTTTGTATCTTGTCTAGAAATCTTTTCAATTTTTCTTCTGAGTCCACAGTGTTATTTGAATATCATGTGATTTATTTAATCATTTCACCCCATGCAAGGCAATAAAGACATTAAGACGTAAGCAGTTAATGAGGTTGAAAGAATAAGAAAAATATACATTATTAAAAGAACACGAATTAAGAAGACAGCAGATAACACTTGACATTGCATTTAAATTTCTGAAGATCGAACTGGAAAGCAACAGACCGGAAGAGAGTTCTACAAGTTTTCAAGAATATGTCCATCGATAATTGGTGGGTCTTTTAGTTCTGTCACGATCGTCTCACTTTAGAGTAGGCATCCTTTATATCTTAACGATCTTTGGTCAAAATTCAGACCTTTGGCGCTGAAACTGGAGTGAACCCTCCATAGCGTAGGCCTGGGTGATGGTATACGGAGTCTCAGCGCTGACTAGTCTTTATGTCATCGCCTTCTCAGCCATACCGAAAAACATACGAAGTGTTGCAGGGAATCCTATTTGGGGACGGCTTGGCTGCAGGAGATAACGGAAAATTGTCAGCTCAACTCCGGGTTTTCTGTATGTAGTGTTTGGATATGACTGCAAATCAATGGGGGTTTAAAATCAGGCTTTTACTTCCCTGAGATAGACTGACTTCCTAGGCTGTCGAGTTCCATCTCCAACCACTCATCAGGCGCCAATTTTCTGCCTTCGACCATTCCCCGGCTTGGAGCTGGCCTTAGTTGCTAGAGTCTATTTGAGACACATGCCATGGAAGCATTTTTATACAGCGTGTCTCCACTATCGCCCCAGTCTATGAGGATCTTTGGAACATATATAATGTACATATATAAGAAAAGTTAAATTCCCAGATCAATTGTGTAGACAATGTAACTATAACAAAAAAGACATTACGATTTCTTTTTTGCCTTGAAAAATCGGAAGACAAAACGCGTCGGCAAAATCTAAGATTTTTTCCAATTGTCATTTTATATCATATATATATATATATATATATATATATATATATATATATATATATATATAGAGGGATATATTTGTTTGAGGGAGCAAAGTGGTTGTTGACTACTGTAACCAAATAGAACAATTTGGCAGGTAACCGTAATGGACTGGTCCTCGTCGTAGTGGTAGGCAATAGGCGTAGGCAATAGGCAAAGACTATAGGCGTCGTCAATAGGCGTCCTCTCTGTACCTCCACATCAGTCTGTATTTATGGCTGACACCAGCCAATCATATTACTGTGAGGGGAACCCAGGGGTATGCGGTGTTTACTCATTCCCCCACGAGGAAGAGATGTGACACAAGGTCTTTTTAAAATGGAAACCCGAGCGCGTAAAACCCGGGCAAGAGACAAAAATTCCCCACAGCTCCCGCAATCGTCGGTTACGCTTGCCTCGGTGCGAACACCGATCCCTTCCTCAATGGGAGGGCGCGGCCTCGGGCAGCTGTTTCCCAGGGCTGGGCATCTCTCAGTATAATTTTCTCAATTGCCCCTCCTTTGACAGAGAACCCTCTGAGCGCACTCTGCCCAAAGACAACGGAACTGAGAGATGATAAGCCTGCGTTAAAATCCCTCCAAGGAGGGATTTATGCGCTGGGGTATTGCATCAATATATATATATATATATATATATATATATATATATATAGGTTACGTGTTTTAGAAGCTAAAACAAATAACGGTTTTTTTAATATATAAAAAGTTAGGTAAACAAAAACATTACAAAATAAAACAAAATATGAAATCCTACAGAAATAAACAAGCACACATCTCGAACAGTTTGTTTATTTTATAACGATGTAGCAGTAATAAAAAAGAAAAAAAAATGAAATTACAAATCAGAATTTAAGCCGAAAATACTTGGCGATAATGAAGTCGTTATTTGACATTAAATCAAATAATTTATACTGTCGTTTTGACATTACTAACACCAAAACTATCAACCTATAAAAATGAACTAGAGGGGAAAATGTTGATAAATATAACTTTAGATAAACAAAAAATATCACTTGTACTCCAACACTTTTCTTACACTTCCCACCTGTAGAATTCCCTTCCGTTTACTTGCTTCCCTGATTACAATATTCAAAAATTTATATGCAACATCAATCACCATCTTCTGTCTTCTTGAATCCCGTTCATCTTTTGTCCTTTCCACAGCAGTCGCTAAATCTTGTTTTTTACTTTCACTCTCTGTAACCCCCTGCGTACTAGAGGCATTCCTGCGTTGCATGGGGCGAAATAATCTTAAAAAAATATTTACGTTTTTCAGTTAAACTTAAAATCCGTAAATATTTTTTGAAGTTTCGGCAAAGCACGCCATCTTTCCTTTCGTTCAGAACCTCATCATTTCACTTTATACATGATATAAAACCGCCGAGAAAGTGCAACCGGGTCTTACTCGTCATCCACCATTTTGTATATTTATTGAACTCTTTCTCTCCTCACATGCAGACTTTTTTTTCCAAGCAGAGGTTAGATAAAGCTTTAAAAACGGACTGGGATTTGAACTTAGTTCGTCGATTCCATTTTTCTTAATCTGTAACGTTTTCAGTGACAGAAGAAAGCCAACAGGTTGAAACGTATTGACGAAAAAAGTGAGGAAGAAAATTCTTTAGGAATCAGGAAAATGTATCATCACATAATTTTGAAGACAGATTGCTGCGGACACAGAGTCAGTCTTCGAATGGATCATTTTTATAAATCACTTTGAATCCACAGGTTATATATATACTGCTCTCAAATATGGCTTTGCATGTGTGAAGGGAACGAGTTGATCAGAGTTAAAGCAATGCTTAAGAGCGCAGCGTAAAATACAGACGAGAATATATTCTTTTCATTCGGCAGACATCTGCAAGTCAGAAAATTGTTCAACGATTCATTGTCTATATAATTCACTTCAAACAGCTTATATATATATATATATATATATATATATATATATATATATATATATATATATATATATGTGTGTGTGTGTGTGAAGAAATATAGTTTTAAGGTATGGTATGTTTATGGGATAAAGTGTTCAGAGATAGAACGTATGTAAATATAAAGTGAACATTAAAGGCAACACCCAGAGCGTCAGACATTTCAAACCTGATGATTGCATCTAGCATGAAGCAGTCTGTCGCCTCTGGGTTTTGACTTCAATATTCACTCATATATATATATATATATATATATATATATATATATATATATATATATATAGGGTGTCCAAAAAGTCCGTGTGCACTTAAAAAAATTTAAATTTATTTGTATTTGCGATAGAAATAATTTGTAAAAAGGATTAGAAAGAAGTAAATCTATATTTTTTAAGTTTTATGGAAATTTTATTTAAGTTTCCACATGTCCTCCCTCATTAACAACACAAAGGATAATACGATTTTGCAGTTCACGGAAAATATTTGCCAACTGATTTACAGTAATGCTTGAAATCACATTAGTTATTTGAGCTATACTTAAAACTATGTACATTAAACTTTCTAACATTTTTTACAGATTATTTCTATCGCAAACACAAAAAAAGTTATAATTTTTTAAAGTGCACTCGAATTTTATGGACACCCTGTATATATATATATATATATATATATATATATATATGTGTGTGTGTGTGCGTATATATATATATATATATATATATATATATATATAGAGAGAGAGAGAGAGATCGATAGACAAAATAGATAGATAGATAGATAGATAGAGAGAGAGAGAGAAATAGAGAGATAGATAGATATTAATACACTTTTTGTTTATACGTTATTTTCATAAAAACATATATTTATATATGCTCTGATAATATTCAGTATTAACAACATTTACTGGCCTAAATATCTGAGAAATTTCATAGAACAGAAACCGAACCATTATCCTACATAGAGCCGTCATATAGCCTGATTAATCATGTGTTTAAATGGTATAGCCCGTTAGGCTGTATGACTGTTCTGTGTAGGATACAGGTTCGAATTGGCATGCTACTACTACTCGACTACGTTGTATCTTGCCTTTTAAGGCACATTTTTCTTGTGTAAATTTTCTTTATCATGTTGGAAATTTAGGATATAATGTCCTCAGTTGATTATATTTCTATTTTGATATTGGTGATGTACACTTCAAGAGAATAATAAATAAATAATTAAATTATGACATCGAGCATTCATTCACCAAAATCTCTAGTAGGTTTACTTATCATTTATTATTTGTCGAAACTAAACAGTGTGCCGCTTGGAAGAAAATTAAACACCAAATTGATATGTGTTGTAGTTTCCTTTTTATAGCATCAGTGCCGATGCTTTTTGATTCGACGCCATATATGCAAGGTTGGTAATAGTCCAATGAAATTTCTTTAATAAGGATTTGAAAAATTATCTCTGTTATGAATAATCAAGAATGGTCTGGCCTTGTTTCGTCACTCTCCTCTTTGAGAGAGCTATTTCAGTTTCCTGGGACAAAAAAGGTCACTATAGGCCAACCTTGTATTCTGAGACGAATAAAGCTTCCTTAAAGCCCACACCTGCGTACTTTTGTCATTAAAACCTCTTCTATATTTCGCATAATTTTCTTGGTTTCCGTTGCATATTTAGATAGAAACTGTTCATTGCCTGAGCACTTTTGTCTGTCCCTTATAAAAATCTTTCAGTCTTTTTACTATATCGTTTCACATGTTCATGTGATTGCTTTTGTCGTCGTCATATTTATTTTTGAATTTTTTTAAAAAAAAGTTTGGCTTGATTTTTCTCTAAAAATATATTTACTTGATTGGAGAGAAAAGCATTGCTGAAAACCGCCATAAACAAACAAAGAAATTATTCTTTCTTATCATTCGGCAGACATCTGCTCTCAGAATATTGATCAGCGATTCAATGCCTCTATCATTGTCGGGAATATATATATATATATATATATATATATATATATATATATATATATATATATATTGCCATTATTATACACATATATATATATATATATATATATATATATATATATATATATATATATATCTGTTAGGCAATAAAAATATTAATAAATAAAAAAAATAAAATCTTCAGATACACTGTGTTGTATATTAATATTCCTCGACTAGTTTCGGCCAACATGGCCATCATCAGGAGAAAAATAATTTTCTGCTTGCTGGTAGCAGTGAACTACAGAAATGAATGTCTTGATGGAGAAAATGAACTTTTGTCTGTAGTTTTCATTTGTTTTTTTTATTTTTTATTTTTTTAACAGTAATTTTGGTCAGTCTTTGTGTTGGTCAAACATTCTCTTTTAAGTTTTTATTTGAGATAAGAGCTGGATGGATTCATGCTGCTCTGAATTCCCTTGGTCATTTTGACAGTTTTATTGATTCCTGGAAAAGAGATGTGTCTCTGTTAAGTGTGTGTGTGTTATTTGGTTCTTAGGGAGTGAGTGAGCATGATGTGTGTAAGCGTGTATATTCGTGAGGGTGTGTGTATATGTGTGAAGCCTCAACACCTCCATAAGCCTGTCTGTCTTGTGTGGGTGAAAAATGTGGGTAGGTTATATATATATATATATATATATATATATATATATATATATATATATATATATATATATATATATATATATATATATATATATATATATATATATATATTTTCTCGTATCTATTCTACATATATATATATATATATATATATATATCATAATATATATTTATATATATATATATATATATATATATATTGCCGAGAATATATATATATATGTAAAATATATACGAGAATACATATATATGTATGTGTGTGTGTGTGTTCTCATTAAAAAGATAGCTATTTATAAAATGTTCTTTCTTAGCGGCGCCGTCGCTGCCTCCGTACTGAACATGCCTTCGGCGTTTGCATGCAGGAAGCTGGGAAAACATTGGTAATGAAGTTATCCATTACGACACCATCAAAATGCAATTTGTAGTGTGGCCGAACCAGTGCGAGCGGAGATATGCAATAAGGAATGAATAAAAGAAAATGCATGTCGTCGTGTTTGATGTAATTGTCTGATGTGCTTGAAAGTGAAGGTTGTAAATGCATTTAAAGAAAGCATGAAGGAACTCCACCCTTCAAAAAGACACATTTTCTGGCTTTGTTTTCCTTAATATGATAAATGTCAACATTGTGAAAGACTACAATCTCTTTATATCTCTCAACGTTATTATGCCTACCTGTCTATCTATCTTACTTTACCAGTGTACATTTATCTTGCTTTGTCAAAATCTCTCTCTCTCTCTCTCTCTCTCTCTATATATATATATATATATATATATATATATATATATCAGTACCTATTTATGTTAATCTGTCAACATTTATCTATCTATCTATCTATCTATCTATCTATCTATCTATCTATCTATATATGTGAATACCTATTCATGTTTTTCTGTTAACATCTCTCAATCTATCAATTCGATCAAACCTCTCTATTCTATTAGTAACTATGGTCTCAATTTCTTTCTTTCTATCTGATGTTTTCAATGTATCGTTATGTTACTCATATATATATATATATATATATATATATATATATATATATATATATATATATATATATATATATATATATATATGTATATATATATATGTGTGTGTGTGTGTGTGTTCTGTCATATCTCCTATTCGTATTGTTACTACCTTTCTTTCTCAGCCTGTTCACCTTTTTGAATCTCACATCGTCACTCACTCAATATCTTTCTTTCTTTCTGTCTGTCTGTTTTCGTCTGCCAGTGAATATTTATCTGACTCTGTTAACATCTATCTATCTATCTATCTATCTATCTATCTATCTATCGTTCGTTCTATCGTTCTATCTATCTATCTATCTATCTATCTATCTGTCGTTCTATCTATCTATCTATCTATCTATCTATCTATCTATAGTTCTATCGTTCGTTCTATCTATCTATCTATCTATCTATCTATCTATCTATCTATCTATCTTCCCATTTCTTACTACCTTTCAATCACAGCCTGCTCACATTTATCTCACTGGCATTCCCTCACTTTTTTTCTTTCTTTCTTTTTTCGTTCTTTCTTTCTATCAATCTTAACTTACTTTGTTCAAAATTGTCTTTCTGTTTCTGTCTACCTCTGTTTGGCTATTTTGTCTTAATCTCTCCCTCTCTCTTCCATCCACCTTTCTCAGTCGCGCCTTGTCCATTTCCCTCTGTTTTCCACTTCTCATCTCCGTTAATCTTCTTCTCTCATCCTGATCTACACCTATCCACACTGCGCTGCTTTTTTTGTTTCTTTTTTTTTTTAACTGATCCATTTTGGCTTTCAGTTGATGAGGTTCTCGTCCTTCCTCCTTTCCTGAACTTCTCATATCATTCATTTGCTATTAATCCTCCAAGTCATGCACCACTAGATTCCTTAGGCGACCATACTCATACGTGTTGCTTTTTATTTGATTTATTTGGCGTTTTATTCATTAATTGATTAACAAAAAGGAAACTGGGGTGGGGGATTTGTGAGATTTCTACATTTAACACACTCGATGGATTTAAGTATAATGATGAAAATATAATAAAAATGTATATAACTGCAAGAAAACAGATGGACTCTCAAGAGTATATATATTCGGATTAAGTGCGTTTGTATTCGAACATAAGTTGTTTAACCAATCATCAGCAGTACATTTCTTTCTAAAAATTTCCTCTGTGAAGATCTACCGCTTTGCTTTGCGACATTGTCTAAGAGTTCAGCTGTTCTTCTTCGCTATCATTACAGCTGCATTTGTATATATTATTTTGTCAAGACGATGTCCATCACATTAAGAAGGTCGACTGAAAAGTTCAGACGCCAACTATGAAGGAATAATGCCAGAAGTGTGAATTTCAACTCTTTATATTAATAAAGGCATTGTTTCTTTCCAGGCAAAGCTGACTGTTCAAAGAAGACTTCAAAAAATAATTAATAGTGAATTGTCTTGAAATGGACAAAGATTTGCATCTGGAACAGGTTAGAAGGAGTGTTTGTACCGCATGGAATGTCTCTTTGTCTGTAGCTCAAAGGGATGGATTCAACATTCATCCTGGGATAAGAAACGTCCAGGGAAATCAAATGGATCGGCCTCAAACAATGTCACATTTTCCCGTGATATGATTAATCAAGTTCCAGAAGACATGACACCCACCGAGCATAAACCATCGTCATACAAAATTCGTAGTGCAGTATTTTTCCTATAACGAGATCTACTAATAGAATTGGATAATTTATTTATAGTCAATCGCCTGTCATCGATCACCCTGTGGTGAATACAATGTTTTCCTCAGTGGACGCAGTTAAAGACGTCCATGCATTCGGTTATATTCCTGTCTCTCTATTACCCTCCTAAATTCAGTTGCCCACTTTTGCACTGTTGGTAAAGCTGGAATGGCATCCCCTAATATAGCAAACATATCAGCATGAGTATCTGTTTCTATTTCTGTGATGAGGTATTATGTGCATATTATTCGGACTATTGTCGCCATTTTTGTTGCCATATTTATCACAGCGTTTCGGCCGTTGTACGCTCCAGCCTTCTTCCAGCATGGCACAGTGGATAAGGTTGTTGGTTAGATCCAGTAACAGGACCCAAAGAGTGTGAGTTCAATACCCAGTTAAGGCAGTGGAGAACTTGGGGAGGGAAATTAACAGGAGATAATTGATAACTGACACCAATTAAAAAACAAAACAAAACAAAAAAAAACATGGCACGTCGAACTAGAACAGTCTACTCCAGTGAGCGAAATAAAGGGTTCAGTTCGTCATATCAACCACCTGAAGAAGGCCGGAGCGTACAACGGCCGAAACGTTGTAATAAATATGGCTACAAAGATGAGGACAATAGTCCAAATAATGTAAATAATATCAGCATGGATGTCGTTTGGGGGATAAGCAAGATTTTCTATAGATACTTGGTAATGCTACGATGCCAAATTTTGTTAATTTCCAAGAGAAAATATGGGAATTTCCTTTTACTTTTGGAACACGGAGGAAATGAGGCTGATTCAATACGGTGGAGGTGGCATGGCATGTCGTAGTTGTAAAAGTCTGATCAGGGGGAACACAAGAACGACGCTCGTCGGAACATGAGATAGAATAGCAAAAAGCTTGCAACATTGCGTCTATAGCAAACAGACTGCAAAACGAAGATGTCTTCACCTGAGTAAGGAGAGTTTAGCTCTGTTAAGGTGGGAAAGTGTGGGCTGAGCGGTTCCAGCAATATAAGACGTTAATGGTTCATTCCAGAATTTCCTACATTAAAAAATACTGAAGAATGTAACTACCGGAATGTTATTTTAGAAACACCGGCGACAACAGCTTAATAAAAATAAACCAACACATAACTTCATACAATACAGAAAGGCTGAAGAATATATTGTTCGAAATGGTGCTTTAAACATAGCAATGATAAAGACAGAAGATCGATAATATAAAGAATAAGGAAAATATGTAATTGCACAACTTTTTACAAGATGTTTACGTAATACATGACCCAAGAGTAACTCAAGGTAGAGAACTGCGGAATGAAGTCGTTGTATTATGATACGAGGAGGGTTTAAGTGCAGATTATGAGGAAATTTAGGATAGATAATAGCTGAACCTCGACTTGGAGAGGTTAAGTTTGTAGTGATCGTGGAAGTTTCTTTTCTTCTCTTCCATAAATTTGCTGTTCTCGGAAAGAATATGACAATGAATCCAGATGGTTCGACCCTGTTTAAGTGCCATGGCGTCACTTAGCTGAAAATGTCTAAACTGGTAGAACTAGGGAATGTAATTCAACAGATGGAGACCGAAGAATGTATCGGTATAAATAGTGTTTAAAAACAAATCAAGGAAGAAAAACATGGAATTATGAAAATAAATTAACTCGGAATTTCCTAGAAAAGAGAAAGAATATGAAAATGAATCCAAATGTCTAAACTGGTAGAACTAAGGTATGTAATGCAACAGAAGAAGACTGAAGAATGTATCGGTACTTCCTCGAAAAGAGAATAGTCGAAGAGTGCATTGTTCCAGATGGTGTTTTAAAAGCAGCAAAAAGGAAGCCATTGTTTCCGAAATATATGAAATAATGAAAGTAATTCGTATGAGAAGTTCATAAAGAAGCGAGAAATTTATTTTCTCATTTTTATAATTTTTATACGGCAATTGTGCAAAAGAAATGAAAATATGAAATATGTCAAGAACGGCTAATTAGATGTTAGTAATTTAAGTTACGCTCATTAAAATAAAATTAGTGAATTCGAAGTGTTTTCACACGGTGAAAAGCAATTAAGCGTACTAATGAAATTATAAATTGTTTCGGAATAAATTTAGGGCATTATTTTATAGCTCTCTTATTTAAAAAAAAAATGTCAACGTTTCATGACTTTGTTCAGGTACAAAGCAAAGTGCTTTCGTGTGGGTCTTAGCACACGCATACACCCCACATAGTCTGACACCTCCACACGCATATGTCCCCACACGCACGCGCATACCCCCCCACACACGAATACACACACGCAATTAAATGTCTATTGTTTAACATTTACTGCATTTAAGGCAGCAGAGGGCCCAGTATTGCAGATAGATATGTTATCGATCTACACAGGAAGGATATCGGAATCATTACTACCGGTTACTCGCCTCACAATATCTGCAAACAGTTACCATCCAGTGTTGATTCCTATGTCCAGTTTCTCGTCGCCATCTTTTTCTATATATATATATATATATATATATATATATATATATATATATATATAATTAAGTTATAAAGAACTTGGTAAATTGTTGGAAGTGTTACCTGATGATCCGGAGTCCTTTTGGTGAAATAAATTATTGTAATGGTACCTTAAGGTGGTCTGTTTTTTCATATATATATATATATATATATATATATATATATATATATATATATATATATATATATTATGAAATGGACAAAGTCCGACAAATATTTTAGGACATTTTTATGCTTATACATTCTTTTTATAGATACAAATATTTAAGTAAATGCACTGTTCATAATAAACAGTATTAAAACAACATTCACCGGCCTTAATGTCCGAGAAATTCATAGAAAATATTCGTCCTCCGACAGGAATCGAACCTTTATTCTATACGGAGCCGTCAGGTTCGATTCCTGTTGGAGGACGAATATTTTCTATGAAAATTTCTGGGATATATATATATATATATATATATATATATATATATATATATATATATATATATGAGATCTGAACAAAATGTATCGGTAGTGTTGCTATAAAAACAAAACTACGGCACATCAATTCTTCAGTGGGATGGGGTGTGGTCTATCGCGGTTAATCCGAGTTAGTCAACATTCAGGTATATCTTTTTGAAAGCAATAAAAAATCTTTCGCAGTGCTTCTTTTTCATTCTTGGCTTCAGCTGGATCCAAAATTTTAATTTCGTGCCTCAAAATATTGATCGATATGCATTTCGTTGATATTGTTCATAATAAAGAAGAAAGAAGGAAAAATGAAACAAAAAAAGTAAGTTATTATAAAGGTATGCAATAAAATTAACGTGGCTAGTCGGGCTACGTGCATCCCAGCCCTATCTGAGCTGGAGAGATACTTAATAGGCTATGTATTTCTTGCTTTAATTTTTATAAATAATCTTTTAAAAATCACTAATGACATGTATGCCCTGTTTTCAAAGAACACATTTTTATTTCAACTTATTGTTTCCAAATGCCCATTTTAATTAATTTATTAAGAAGATACGGTGGAGTAATGGATAGCAGCTCAGATCGAAGAATCGGAGAGCCGAGGTCAAATTCTAGTCGAATTCATTACATCCACTTGCGTGATAATACCCTTGGGAAAGCTATGAATCCTCTTCTTCTCCCAGCTATAGGAAAATAGCAGGACAGACCGAGTTCTGTAGCATTGGATGGTAACTGGTCTACTGCAGAAGAAAATGGCAACCTACTTGCAGGGGAAAATATGCCTCGCCAGTGATGTATCGAAAGATGCATGATCGCCTAAGCATGTATCACGTATGACACATAGCTGACTGACTGTTTCCGTACAGTATAAGGTTTTTAGTGGAATGTATCTTTAGAGAAAGGGCAAATTAAATTTAGCACAACATCAATTTGAAAATAAAACAAGGTGGCAGCCTTAACTCGTCGACTGGAGGGTTAGGGTGAAAAGTGTGAATGGGGTAGTGTTGAGGAAATATAATATCAGTCAGCAGTACTGATCATAAACGTACAGTAAATTAAACTTAAAACTCATAGACAAAGAGGCGCATAAAAACACCAACGCATAGACATATATACAAACACACACTCGAGATAGATACACACGTTATTTGAAAAAAAAAAACTATCTGGCTTGAGATTTAAAAAAAAATATTTTAGTTAGAATAAAGGAATCATTTTAGCATTTAAGCATTACCAATAGTATATTTTGTTAAAGATTGTAATGAGCCCGACAAACATTGCTGACCTAGAGTTTTCACTGCAATTCTGTCTTTAATCTCCTTCAAATTAACCCTCTTCTGAAACCGCAAACAATGTTCTGTGTCGTTTCCGTTGATGGAAACATTCCTAGAATTACTTTCTTGGGGTAGAGCACAGTTGCCTCGTAAATTGTCTTTCATGTAGGATTTGATTTTTAAGAGGAAAACGTATCAAGGCTCTATATCTGGGGAATATAGTAGTTGTCGCGCTTTGGAAATGTGCTTGGCCCAGAAGTGCTGCTCTTAATGGCAAACTGATTTTTAAAAAATCCCCACATCACGATTGCTGTCTTCTAGGTTGTCTTGATTGATTATTTCCATGAAAGATTTGAACTCGGGCACAGCTATCTAGTCAACCCTATTATAACTCTCCGTTTATTACTAAGATTACACGTGAGAAAAATAGTTTTCATGTACCTTTTGGTAAACGTACACGCTTCTTTTTGTAATATCCTATTAAAATTATGCTTGTCCCTCCAATAACTCATAAATGAAGAACTATTCATTTTCATAGAGTGGAAAGAGGATGAAAGTTTTTATTTGGTCACAGTGAGAAAATGAATGAAAGAAAGAAAGGGGAAAATCAAGTGGAGACAGAGAATCCGTTTTAGTCGATCGGAACAGATACTACCCTTTGATCTTAGCCAAAAAGCCGAAACGCCTTCCCCCCACTTGGACGAGATGTGACACAAGGTCTTTTTTTTAGGTGGGGACCCGAGCGCGTACGCTCGGGACAAAGTCAAAATTTCCCCTCAGCCCCCGCAACCGTCGTTTGCGCTGGCGTCGTTGTGAGCATCGATCCCTCCCTCTTGTGCAATGGGAGGGCGCGGCCTTGGACAGCTGTTCCCCAGGGCTGCGCACCTCTCACTATAATTTTCTCAGTGGCCCCTATGTTCTTTGACAGAGAAGCCCTGAGCGCACTCTGCCCAAAGACAGAGGCAAAACTGAGAGATGATAAGCCTGCGTTGAAAATCCCTCGTAAGAAGCGCGATTCTATTTTCTTGAGTCCCACGATGTCAATAAGTGACACAAGGTCAGTTTACTGTGAGGAGCTCGATCGCGTGCAACCGACCTAGTATTAACGACGGAAATCCAAATTTATCTTATATGAAACAACATCGTCTACTGAATTATTTTCAAATTATTATTAATAGAAATGTTCATAAGACGAAGATTTGGATAGTTTATATAAATATGGCTGAGCAGTAGAGAAACGGTAGAATGTCATCAACAGTTCACTTTCAAATCATTTTATCTGAGAATTTACAGTGAAAAGAGTCGCTTCTGCACTTTCTTAGATAACGCGATGGTATTGCTAAGTCCAGTTGAGACCCTCTGCAATGTACGTGCCCAGAAACTTAATTTTCTTCAATCTCACCTACAGACCCCACCAATAAGAAAAGTCTCTGTCTCTAACACACAAACCCATATATATATATATATATATATATATATATATATATATATATATATATATATATATATAAAATTGAACATTGAAGTCAACACTTAGAGGCGACAGGCTTGTTTCATGCTAGACGCAATTGTCAGGTCACTATTGCATCTAGCATGAAACAGTCTGTCGCCTGTAAGCGTTGACTTCAATGTTCACTTTTATAATTACACACGCTCTATCTCTGATATATATATATAAAAGTGAACATTGAACATTTTCTCGGCTATTTATATATACGGATCAGTGGTGCATTGTCGGTAGTCTATTTAGGAGGTTATTTTTTCGGAAGTCGTTTATTTATTTATTTCGGTTAAATTATGTTGCCTATTTATTCTTATTTTTAATTTTTTTAATTTTTATTTCTTATCTTATATATTCATTTATTTTTATTTTAATCGGTGTTTTTATTAACGTAGTAAAAATTTGTTTATAAGGCTATATTTCTTTATATATATATATACGAGGTGGCATGAAAAAATTTCCGGACTAGTTCTGGAGCACCAAAAGATGGCTCGAAGTGACCATTATGTGCCACTGTGCCGAGGGACATCGCTGTGTTTACATCGCAAGTTATGAAATTTGTGATCACATGTATGCAGTAGCTTGCAATTTTGTCATGCAAAAGCATGATTATGTCTTTTTTTTTTTTTAGTCATTCGCGGTATTATGCATCAAGAATACATCTCGTTGTGCCAGACCGTCAAACGAGTGTTCTGTTGCAACGTTTTTAGGCATTTGACGTAGGACGTTTGTCGAAAGCGACCGGATCTGCGGCGCGCAAAGAATTGGATTCTTCACGACGAATATGCCCCCTGTCATCTCCCCATGAATTTCTAACCAAAAACAACATTGTATCGCTTCCGCAACGCCCTATTCGCCAGATTTAGCACCTGCGAAATTCCATTTCTTTTCCAAGCTGAAAATGCATCATAAAGGTCGCCGTTTTCATAATGTTGCTTGCAGAAAAACGAATTCCAGGCCGGATTGCATAAGTGGCTGGCACGCTGGTACCGGCACATTGTTTGGAAAGATGACAATTTCCAAGGTGATGATGATGATGCAAAATATATTATGTTTTTCAAAGGTTCAAAAAACTACCACGTATATATATATATATATATATATATATATATATATATATATATATATATATATAAAAAAAATTTCACAGAGGTACCATGTAGAAAATTTCAATATGTATAAAGGTAAAAGACAATAGGAAAACTGTATTATGAGTCGACGGGTTTCGTCCAATGTGGACTTTTTCAAGGCAAAAATGAAATGAATTTATTAAAATCAATGTAACTATTAACAAAATTTAAGGGCATTTTGTTGGTTGTTAATAGGTACTTTGTTTTTAATAAATTCATTTCATTTCTGACTTGAAAAAGTCCTCATTGGATGAAACGCGTCGGATAATAATACAGCTATTGTTTTCTACCTTTATATATAAAATGCAAACGCTCATATATATATATATATATATATATATATATATATATATATATGTGTGTGTGTGTGGATAGATAGATAGATAGATAGGTAGATAGATTTTCCTATAGCGGGCAACGGATGATCATACACAAGAGAACTGGTTAAAGCAGCCAGTGTCCTGTAAACATACACTTTCAATCATAGCACCATGTCATGCAATAATGCACCATTTCTCGTCCGAGCTAACGAAGTTAAGCAACGTCGAGCCTGATTAGTACCTAGATGGGTGACTACTTGGGAATACCAGTTGCTATAAAGTGAAATTTGCAGGTGTTGTAATGGATAACGGCTTCTTTATTAGTTTTTGAAGCAAATTAGAATCTCTCCCGCTCTTAATCAAATACCTGCTTATCTATTTTGGCGAAAACTTCATAGATGAACAATTATAAGAAAATAATCATTTCGAATTGCTAAACTGATCTGATACTGGTTTTTCAAAATTTCATTCAAATTATAATTCATTCAATTCTAAAGAAAATCGAATCTTAAATTAAAATTATATTTTAGTCATGTAACGCACCGTCTTTCCTCGTTAATTTAAAACTAATTTAAAATATATGGTTGAGAAAAAAATGAGAGAATGAAACCTCCACATTATTATTGTTGCAATCATTGTCACAGCTGTATAAATCGGTCGATGAAAAAAAGAATAGTAAATGAAAGTTATTAGACACATGGTTTGTAAGATTTATTTGCCGTTTTAATTCTCTTGAAGTAATCTACTGGTCGCTTATCATTCTTCCATTTACATAAACTCAATTTTAGACTATTCCTATTCCCTCCTCGGATATTGTCGACCTCTTACCTATTTCATCTCCAGCGGACCTGGTAGATTTAGAAAAAAAAAACTACACCAGTTATGAAGTTGTTTAAAAAAAGACAGAAAACACGTGTGATACTATGGAGAACCACATACTAAGGGAATGTGTTGGGCACCTTAAGGTGGTTAGTAAACTTGCCTCAGTAGAACAATTACGAGAGAGTTTGATCCAAACGGAGTGCCCCACACTTTCGGCATTGTGCCACACCTAAGCAACTCTTGGAAAATCACTACTAAGGGAGTGGGTGGTTTTATTTCGATCTCAGGTGTTTTTGTTTGATAGAACAGTTCCTATTGACGTTCAGTTTTCTCAGTGCTATCCATTTTCCAAGACTAAAATCCAAAGACGAATATGCAATGTTAATGGTCCTAAAGTTGCATCTCACCTTCAGTCACTTTCCTAGCGCCGTAATATCGTTTCTCATTGTTTTTCAAACAAAAGCTTTCTTAGTCTCTGTTCTGATGGACTTTACTCTATTGTACCTAGACTTCATGAATTTAAGAGCAGTACTAGATTGGCAACACGGTCCCATCGTTTTAGATGTAACCGTAAATTCTTTGCTAATAGTTTTTTTCTCGCACTTCTCGATCGTGGAACTTTCTTGTGTATTCTTGATTTCCAGCCAACTTTAACATTAAAAAAAAATTAAATTCAATGTCAACCATTATCTTTGTCTTCGTGATTCCTCTTTATTGTTCTCGCAACTTAATAATATTTTTCTTTTTCTTATTCTTTCACATTCAGTAATCCTTTGTGTCTTAGTGGCTTTATTGCCTTGCTTGGAATGAAATAGTTTAAAAACAAAACTAAGGGAAATGGGAAGTAAAGGGATTTTTGGAGATCAAGTGATAAAAAAAAACCGAAATAGGGTATATCCGGATGCTGGTCTATATTAACAGGCTTGGGCTGGTCGGCACTTTGCGGGATACAGACATGTTCGTCGTGCTATTCCGAAGCCTCCTTTTCTTATTGCCAATTACGTCATCGGGCAAGGTGTTGGTAAGGGGAATAGCTGACATAACAGAATTTGTCCCAAGTATCACCTTTCTACCCAATCAGACGAGCAGACGAAGCCCAGAATGAAAAATCTATTTTATAATAGGATTTGCGTTCTTATTTTTCGACGCGGCGTTTGTCTTTCGTCGTGTTACCTTGTGAGCATGCAGTGCGCCCTTTCCCAGTTTTCAGTGCACATCGACGTGATCGGGAAACGGAATACAACGCGGGGTAATCATTGCCCGATCAGTGGGAAGCATGTGGGAGGCTCGCATCGTATGTTTACACACGTAACTTGACTAAAATTGTAATCGATCATTTATGTCTCAAGAAAACGGAAACTGAATTTTCTTTCGAATCTATTTTTTTTAATAATCATTCAACACGCACCCAATAAGCAAACTCACTAAGACGCGAGATGTCACTGAGAGTAAAAGAAACAGAGAAATCATTATTGTGAAGAGATAGAGAAAGAAAGGGGGAGCGCGGGAAGAGAGAGGGAGAGAAAAAGAGGAGAACAGAAGAACAGGATGCAAGGAGATAGAAAATGACAATTAGCTTTGGTATTTAGATTTTTGAAGATCATACTTGATAGGAAAACATGAAAGCGGAAGAGGCGAGAAGGTCGAAATTATAAAGTATGGGGCACCCAGTGAGGATCGAACTCACTACTCATTCGTAATTGACAAGCTTTCTAACCATTACACCACGTCGAGGTGCCATAATGTTGATTTCCTAAGCATAGCTCACATGTGGCACAAGGCCGAAAGTATGGAACATCTAAGGAGGATCGAACTCACTATTCAGTGGTAATTGCTTAGCGAGACAAGCTTACTAACCATCACACCACGCCTAGATGCCCAGGTCGAGATTATTAGTATTATTATTGAACTTACGTTTGCATGTAGCAATTTCAACAATTGCGACCTTTCCTTCAGTGTTTGCAATCAACACAATCAACGCATTTTATAATGTTAAGATTACGCTCATCGATAATAAATTCTAGTGCTTCTCATCTGACGTAGTGTACCGGCACTAATTTTTTTTTTCCAACCTGATAGGGACCGTCGAGCGAAGCTTGAAGATTTGCGGCGTGGCCGGGGGGGGCACTATGATTCCACCAAAATTTGTTTCAGATATATTCTATTTAACGGTCATTTTGAGACTATCTGTAATAAACACGAGGATCTGATATATCATTTATTCTCAAGTCAGTCATCATTAACATAAAAATGTTTTTCCAGTCTGTCAGGGACAGCTAACATATTCGAATCATATAATTATACAATAACGACCCGAGAAAATTTGTAGTATTATTCATTTATACCAGAAAAATATAATGAATATAATAAAAGTTACAGCAGTTTTTTTTTTAATTTTATACTGATTTTGTAGAAATATATATCCATGAAAATGGAATTTTCCTATTTCTACGTTTCTTTCCTCGAACGTCACATCATGATGATAATATTCTCCTCGTTATTTTAGTACATTGTTTTGCTGTTCATTAAATCGCATTCCTCTAAAATTGAATTAAATTAAAGAAATTATTGAATCGCGAAGTAGGTTTTTTGTCAAAGTATTTTTCCAAACAAATCTTATTCAAATTTCATCGATTGCTTTGCGAAATTGAACGAAACGAATGTTTTTTTTTGTTTCTTTTTGTTTTGTTTTTTACGGCATATCAACCTCAATGGGTTATTTTATGCTGACAAGTTTTTTAGGATAGGTTCGTATGAATAGAATATGTATTCTTTGTAAGAAATCAGTTTAATTTGGTTTGTTTTGTTTTGTGGCATATCAACTACAATGGGTTATGTAATGCTGACAAAATTTCCTTTTTTTTTTCCAAAAATGTGTAGCTGGTAATTTTTTCAGAAATGTATAGCTGGTAATTTTTTCCAAAATGTCTAGCTGGTAATAATTTTTTCAAAAATGTATAGTTTGGTTTGTTTTTTGGCATATTAACCTCAATGGGTTATTTAATGCTGACAAGAATTTTATTGCTGGTAAAATCATTTTTCAAGAATTTATTGCTGATACTAATTTTTGTTTTTACAGAGTATTTCTGGTATCAAAATCTATTTTTACACTTTCATAGTCAGGTTGTGGGGTCAATTATTTGCCCATACCTGGGACCCTAACAGGTGTTACCATCCCGGGTCAGGGTGAACCTGAGAACACCAGCAATTAAGAGGTAGTTCCACGTTCCTCAAAACCTGATCAAAGGTCTTGTTGTGGGACGTAGTTTATTGTCTCACCCAGGACGCGAATGGTTTGTAAATATCAAAGTAAAAATGTAAGTGATGACATTAATAATACTAAATAGAATAATACTAGTAATAAAAACAACCAATCACAAGTTATCACGTTGATGACAGTCAATGTATTTCGTGTGAGAATTGCTGGATTGGATCAAGAGTTCTCAACCAGTGGGGGGGGGGTCCCTCCCTTGGACGGAATTTCAGGGTTTCGTGGGGTGGGGGCACCGATTGGTAAACTCTAGATGTTAACTTTCAAACTCTCAAAGGCGGCACAACCCTCAATGTGCATAGGATCGTTCAACTGAGGGGTCACGCTGGGTTTTCTTTCCGCTAGATCTTGTACTTATTTTTTTTGCTAGTACAATAATAATCCATGTAAATGGGTACGTACTAATAGGGAAAAGAATGGCGATTTTCAATAATATACGCTTATTATTTGGAATGTTCCTTTTGATTCGGACCACCTTGGAAACAATAGTGGGAGGAATATCCTGACCTGGTGAAATGACTGCATTGGGCTAAACAGGTTGAAAACTTAGTCAGTAATCGAAGCAGGTTCAAAAACAGGTGAGTACTGGGCATTTGCGCCCTGAAAATTTGCGTTCCTAAACAAGTTCGTGCCTTAATAATTGCGTATCTCTGATAATTTTTTGAAGATTTTTAAGTCATTTTCAAATTTTGAAAAAAAAACCATAGGTAGTAATCATAAATTTTTTTAAAAAAAGGAAAAATTAAAAAAAAATTAAAATGTTTATTTTTTTTAAATTCAATGACAGATTAAGAGTTTTTCAAGATCGCTCTACACATCGGCAGAATGTTTTTATTTCATCGTTGTTTTTTCTTATGAATTTGGTAGCTGTAATTTTCCTCGTCCGCAAATAATTTTCTCTACTGGTGTATGATTTTCGGAACTTACCATGGGTTACAAATAAAGGTATAATCTATAAACTCCAGCGTCAATGAGATGTTTGTGGGACGCACTTCTGGAGTAAAATGAAACTAGATTAATTTTCTCTTCCTTAAAAAAAGAAATTTTTCGCTCTTTTTTTATTTATGTTAACTACCTTTCTGGTTGCTTAAAGTAATTAAAGGTATTGGTCGGCACATTTCTTTATTAAACAACTCTTAAAAAAACTTCAGAAAATTATCCAGACTTCAGAAAATTATCCAG